GTCTCAAAATTACTCTGTCCGGGTGAACTACGCACAAATCCTCCCTGACAGAGAGCGCAGCCAGCTCGGATACCCTGCAAGCGGATGTAATGGCCACCAGGAAAGCAGTTTTGATGGTAAGGTGGCGCAGACTGGTCTTTCTCAAAGGCTCAAATGGGGCTTTGGTCAGGGCCTTAAGCACAAATGGAAGGTCCCAAGACGGATACCGGTGAACAGCTGGAGGGCTGATGTTTGCTGCTCCCTTGAGAAAGCTCTTGATCTGAGGAAGTTGACTCAGAGAGCGAGAGGAGCCCTTTGCCAGGATGGTAGACAGCGCTGCAACCTGACGTCTGAGGGTGCTGACCGCAAGGCCCTTATCCAGACCCTCCTGCAAAAAGTCTAGGGTCTGAGGGATCGAGGCTGAAGAGGCCTCTATGTCTCTAGTCTTGCACCACTGAGAGAATGCGGCCCAGGTGGCATCGTAGATTCTAGTAGTAGAAGGCCTCCTGGACGCTTGGATCGTTCGAATGACCTGGTCAGAGAACTTCTGCTTTCTCAGGAGCTCCCCCTCAAGTGCCAAACGGCTAGCTGTAGCCCCTGAGGCTCCGGATGGGTGATGGCCCCTTGGCTGAGGGCAATTTGGTCCCGAGGGATTCTCCACAGTCTCTGAACTGAGAGACTGACCAGGTCTGCGTACCAGGGCCTTCTGGGCCAGAATGGAGCCACCAGAATGAGGTCTGCCTTTTTGGCCAGGAGCTTGTTCACCACCTGAGGAATGAGCGGAAGTGGAGGGAAGGCATACAGAAGTCCCTGAGGCCACACTGACCTCAGTGCGTTTGTTCCCTCCGCCTGGGGCGAGTGGTAGCGACTGAAGAAGCATGGGAGATGTGTGTTGTTGTGTGTGGCAAACAGGTCTACTTGCGGTTTGCCGAAGCTAACTCCCTGCTGCGATGGTTCGGGCTAGGTTCTGCCTGATGGGGCCTAGAGAACTCCCTGGGATCCACTGTGGCTCTTGGTGAAGACCTTTCACTGGAGCCCTTGTGCCCTTTGCCTTTTTTAGCTGAGGGATCCAGCTTGCTGCGCTTGCTGGAGGGCCCTGCCTGCTCCCCTAAGGCCTCCCTGCATTCCTCTGCCATGCTCAGGGCACCCACAGGGCCTGGAAGCTAGCTGGAGCTCGGATGGGCACGCGCTGGCCAAAGATGGCTCAAATGACGCTTGCAGACTCTTCAGGAGGGAAGGGACGCCTGTTGGTTGGATTCCTTCCTCCCACCGCCCTCGGGTCCCCGAGACTTAGCTTCTTCTCCGGAGGGAGAGACTAGCTGGCTCCCCAGACTAATCCCCAGCCTTCCTGCGGTGTTCTGCGGTCGCTGAGGGCTGGCTGGCTCTCCGCTAGGGCCTTCGCTCTTCTGCTTCTTCAACAAGCAATGCCTCGAAATCTCCGCTCTCCCCACGAGCCGCGCGTCCTCCTCTTCACGGCCTCGGAGCGATCCAAAATGGCGGCGGGTGCGCGCGCAGCCACTTCCCGCTCCTTTTCACATTGACAGCCAGAAAAGCGCGCAAAAGGATCAACCGTCGCCGCTGTTGCCGGGCAGAGTTGAGAGCCGAGTTGGCCAGCAGCGAAAAGGCTTGCAGGCTTCAGAACGTCGGCTGGGGGTTTTTGAAAACCCCTGGGCTCAGGTTGGGAGATCTCCCACCGCCCCTGCCACTCGCCAGCAGCCGCTGGGCGAGGGTTCAAAGTCCCCTGGAGCGCTTGCGACCAGCAGCTGCAGGGGAAGCCCGGGTGCCCTCTTAAAGCGACACAAACCTCAAGGAAATCAATCTGACAGTTCTTGTCCAACAAACAGACAATTCACTAAATTAAGAAGTCAAAACGTGATCCAAAGTGGGGAACTTTCCAGCCTATCTGACTTTAGACTGGAGCACTCCCCAAAACAGTCCCAACGGGCGGACTGAGTTTTCAAACTGAGCATGCAGAGGCAAAGGGAGGCGTGGTCAACAGAAAAACATCACTCAGTCCAAGAGCAGATAGGCTGTGTTAACCCACTACTGGACTCTCCGAGCAGTGCACTGGAGAACAGATGGCAGCAGCTGTGCCTAGATGGAACTTTTGCATGATCTACCAGTATATATTATACACACACTTTCAGATTTCCAATTAATATAACCTTACAATAAAGTAGAATTAGTTCTTCTAGCAATGTTTCCTGTCACACAAGATTGATATCAATCTTGCAAGTCTGCGAATTTATCTCCTCTTCCATTTTCCTTATTTTTATATTGTATTTTCAAATTATCATTGTAAAAAGAGAAATGAAGTTGTAATGAACCCTTTTTCTTTCTTCCTTTTAAAATAACTCTGTCTGTGCATCAGTGTATGTATGTTCCTTTTCCTAACTTTTACAATAATCTCTTGAACATAAACAGGACTGCAACAGCACACATGAATCATTATTTTTTAAATAACCATAATTTTCATAAAGTGAATTCAGCTGCCCCAACAAATTATATCTAAATTTCAAAAGATTATGACAGTATAATATATTATGAAATAGACATAAAAATGAATATTTTGTAGGGAATGATTTCCATGAACACTGGAGTTTGTTTCAGACTAGAATTAGTGAATACAAGTTTTATTGAAAAATATAAGCCTGCTGCACAATTAGATTTTAAAAAGTATAACTTTCACAAGAATTAGTTCTTGTGATATATGTCCATCTTAGTGGGCCACTAAGACTTCAAACTGCAGCATGTAGAAGGCTGCTATAAATAATTTCATGGATTTAAGAATTGTTGACCTACATGGCCAACGCATAGCTATATGAATAACTTATATTTCTTCCATATATATTCCAGAATGGGAAAAGTATATAGGTACATTAATGTTTGCAATTGGGATTGGCAAACTTGGTCATTAAGGAAAGTAGTCACTAAGTGAAAAATCACTAATTGTGACTGTGTTTACAATTTTCACTTCAGTTTTCCTTTTCTTTACAATGTTGGTAGGATATAACCCCAAATGGCTGGGTGAGCCTAAATAGCAGACAAGATTTCCAGAACTTGACTCCCGAGGAATCTGGATGAAAGGGTAAATCTTATAGCACCTTTTCCTCATTCCCCCTTTATGCTTATCTCAGAGCTGAGATAATGAGCTAGCAATTATTTTATTATTTTGATACATAACCAATAAAGATCCATCTAAAATTAGCAATGAAATCTCATTACTCACAGTAAATTTTCTCAAAACTCTGCAACTGGTTTAAAATTTCTAGTCTGCCTGAAAGGCTAATTCAAACCTCACCTTCATTAATTCTTGCAGGGACTCAAGTTGCAGAAACTTGCTCTCAGTGATTAACTTCTCTGGATCACATACCTGTAAAGTGGGAAATTGGAAGACAAACACATTATTGATCTCACAAGGCAAAAATAAGTTAAATATAAATAATATAAAAACTAAGTATCCACAAACATTTCTAGAATGTATTGCCTCTTTATTAATACCCCATACTAATTTTTAGGATGAAGGATTTCTTGGTTTGAACTCAGCATCTTTTTCTCAAGAAAGTAGAGTATGGTTCTTGAAAACTATAATAAATTTAGAGTAAAATAGAATAACAGAGGCGGAAGGGACCTTGTATATCATCTAGTCCCACCCTCCACCCAATCAGGAGACCCTGTGCCAGGGGTGTCACACTCACATTGTCATGTGAAATATCATGACATTTTCCCTCTTTGCTAAACTGGCCATGGGCGTGGCCAATGTGTGACACATCCAGCTCACAGGCTGAGAGTTTGTCACCCTGCCCTACACCATTTCTGACAGATGGCAGTTCAGTCTCTTCTTGAAAGCTTCCAGAGATAAAGCTCCCACAAGTTCGGAAGGCAAGCTGTTCCATTGGTTGATTGTTCTCGCTGTCAGAAAATTTCTCCTTATTTCCAGGTTGAATCTCTCCTTGATCAGTTTCCATCCATTCCATTCCTTGGCTGGTGTTCAGGTGCTTTGTAAAATAGGTTGACCCCTTCCTCTTTGTGGCAGCTCCTCAAATATTGGAACACTGCTATCATGCCCGCCCTAGTCGTCCACAGACGAGCCATGCCCAGTTTCTGTAACCGTTCTCCATGTTTTACCTCCACTCCCCTAATCATCTTGGTTGTTCTTCTCTGCATTTTTTCCAAAGTCTCAACATCTTTTTATAGTGTGGTAACCAGAACTGGATGCAGTATTCTAGGTGTAGTCTTACTAAGGACTTATACAGTGGTATTAGTATTTCACCTCAAATACTTTGGCCACCTAATGAGAAGGAAGGGCTTACTGGAGAAGAGCCTAATGCTGGGAAAGATTGAGGGCAAAAGAAGAATGGGACGACAGAGAATGACATGGCTGGATGGAGTCACTGAAGCAGTCGGCGTGAGCTTAAATGGACTCCGAGGGATGGTAGAAGACAGGAAGGTCTGGAGGAATGTTGTCCATGGGGTTGCAATGGGTCAGATATGACTTCGTAACTAACAACAATGAAGTACCTCACCTGATCTTGAATCCCTCTGGTTAATGCAATTTAGAATTGGATTGGCTTTTTTCACTGCCACCGCACACTGTTGGCTCATCTATATGTGTACCTTTCTTGCCTAAGTGTAAGACTTTACTTTTCTCTACATTGAATTTCATATTGTTAGTTAGGGCCCAGTGTTCAAGTCTGTCAAAAATAAAAACAAAATCAAACAAATATACCTGTCCAATATATTTGAAACTTAAAGTATGGAGGCCCCTAAGGAACTTAATGTTGTCTCGTTTTTCCATCTTGAATTGAGTGCGATCATCCACTGATGATGAAAAACACTATAAATATCATTTTTCCTACTCAGAGTGAAAGCGGTTAAAGATCATGTTAAAAGGTAAAGGTTTCCTCTTTCCAGTCATGTCCAACTTTAGGGGATCTCCTTTTCCTAATTGAGGGAGGCAGCCTTGTCTGAAGATGCTTCTGTGGTTATGTGACCAACATGACTATATGCCAAGTGACACAGAACACTGTTAAAAACACCCAACTATGCTGTTTTTCCTCTTTGCCATTAATCAGAACTTTAGTGGGATGACACAAGGTCCTCTTGGCTTCCAGGTGCTCGGTAGCAAAGGATTTTTCAAAATGACCATCAGAGCATTACTATTTCTTATATTATTATTAACATGCCCTGATGCTAAGGAGTTAGACATTCTACTCTCCCTTCCAACCTAAAAACCTGGTTGTGGATGTGGCCAGCATGTGAATCATCCGGCCTGCTGGCTGGGAGTTTGGAGAAGAGCCTGAGGGAGAGAAGATAGGGGAGGATTCTGTGGGGCAAGCCTGAGTGAGAGAAGGTAATAAGATAAGAGATGTTTCTGTGGGGCAAGGCTGAGGGAGAGAAGGGGATAGGATAGGAGAGATTTCTGTTGAGCCAGCCTGAGGGAGAAGGTGATAAAATAGGAGAGCTTTCTCTAAGACAAGCCTGAGGGAGAGAAGGTGATAAGATAGGAGAGGTTTCTGTGGGGCAAGGCTGAGGGAGAGGTGATAGGATAGAGGAGGTTTCTGTGGGGCAAGGCTGAGGGAGAGAAGGGGAGAGGAGAGGCTGATGGTAACTATTCATTAATTTTCAAGTGTCAATTTATCACATAGTTTCATAGCAGAGCACAGGCATTCAGCTAGCATACTCTATATTTTTATTGCTCTACACATCTTGATCTCCCATCCAAAGGTGATAATAGTGGTATTATTGCTTGCTGTACAGTCAACCAAGTGTTTAGACTGGATTTGGCATTTTTATCCATCGCATCCTTCCCATGGTCCTAGGAAAGGCAGTTGTTGTTTGATGATTTTAAAGGTATCACTGTATTATTTTATTATTACAGGCAGTCCTCTTTTAACTATCACATTTCGGACTGACAAATTCACTGCTGTGATCTGGTCATTAAGTGAGACATCCTGTGACTATGGCTTCTCCATTGACTATACTTGTTGGAAGCCAGCTGGGAAGCACACAAATTGCAATCACATGACTGATAGTCATAAATGTCCATCAGTTGTTAAGCACCCAAATCTCAATCGCATGATCGCGAGGAGGCTCCAACAGTCATAAATGTGACTACTAGCTATAAAAATTTTCAGCACCATCATAAATTTGAACAGTTGCTAAACAGGACAGTTGTTTTAATACATATACCTAGAAGGTGCATACATGACCATGCTACATGCATACATTTAAATTAATAATTTATATTTTATACATTTATTATATTATATATATTGTCAGGTTTCGAAAGGTTAATGAAAACAGCCAAACACAGAGACTGTTTGAAAATGCAGTTTATCTTCCTCCAGCATGAACTGACCAACAAAGCACTAAGGCAATGAATAAATTGTCAGAGTTGACATCCGATGCCCCCCCACCTTTTATAGTTACTTGGCAATTAGGCTAAACCCCATCCCCGCCCACTTGCACACCCATCACCTCGTGACCTAGAGAGAAAACCATCTGGCAATCAGTCATGGATTGTTCTCAGTCAGTGGAATGTTCTCATTGGAAACCTCCCGGCAGTCAGTCATGAAGAGTTATGTAGAGTTTTCAGCTGGACTGCTTGTGGAGGAGGGAGATCTGCATATGGTAAGCATGAGTCCTGACAGCTGGCCCAGTCCCCCCTCTCCAATGGCAGCTCCAGGCCTCTGAGCTCACTGGAGCGGACATATATTATATATGCATACTGTATATCATAATGATATGTGATACACACAAATACACACACACACACACANGTGAAGATTCATTCTCCAAGCTTGTAGTTTGGTTTCCGAACATTTCATTACAAGGCTAAGTAACATCTTCAGTGGAGTTTAAAGGTAAAGGTTCCCCTCGCACATATGTGCAGGTTGTTCCCGACTCTATGGGTCATGCTCATCTCCGTTTCAAAGCCAAAGAACCAGCACTATCCGAAGATGTCTCTATAGTCATGTGGCCGGCATGACTAAATGCTAAAGGCGCACGGAACACTGTTACCTTCCCATCAAAAGTGGTTCCTATTTTTCTACTTGCATTTTTACATGCTTTCGAATTGCTAGGTTGGCACAAGCTGGGACAAGTAATGGAGCTCATTCCGTTACTCGGTGCTAGGGATTCGAACTGCCGACCTTTCTTCTTCTTTTTTAGTTTTTATTTTTTTTTAACTTTTTACATATTAGTATATGGACAGTGTGGTACCTGAATATCATAAATTTCATACAAAAAAATAGTATTATTCATATTTGTTTCATTTAACAATCATATAATACTAGTAGTAATATACTATATTATATATTAAATTTTAATCTTTCATTGTTTAATTATTCAATATTTTAATATACTATAATAATTATTATACCTTTTGATATGAATATATTATCAATCATATTTATTACATTTAACAAACTTATATAACTAATATTAATACCAACATTTGACTTAAATTAAGAATTTCATTATTGCTTATTCAACTTATTGTTTGATTGTCCAATATTTCAATATATTGTTTTTATATCAATCACCATATTCTATTAAAATACAACTAAAATATTATTACTATATATTGTTACATTTAGCATACATATGTATATTCATAATTGATTATCATTTTTCATTTTTTGTTTAGTCACTAATTCTAGGTATTGTTTCAATGCCAGTTCCCATGTTATTTAAATACACGTATTAACACCATCTTTCATAAAATATTATTCATCATATTTATTACTTTTAATAAACTTATATGTTTAAATTAAGCTCTTTCATTATTTGCTTATTCAACTTATAATCCTTCATTTTTTAATTATTCAGTATTTCAGCATCAGTCATCTTCTGCATATCATGTGTTTTAATACAAATAAAGTATTGTTAATCATATTTATTACATTTAACAAACCTACTGACATTCATAACATAATTTAGTAATACCATCCTTCAAATTCTAATTTCCCCTTATTATTGCTTCTCCTTATTACGTAAAATATGTATTTTATTAATCCCCTTCTCCAAATCCCCTCCAATTTTTTTGTTCTATTTTGTTATGCTACTATTATATTAAACATATTCCCTAATCTAACCATCATCTCTTACCTGCCTTAAAGCTTTGATTATTCTTTTCTTAGCTTGTCTTCCATATTCTGCTTGTTTCTTTATTTTTATGTTTCCTCATCTTGCCTACTTATTTTAAATTTTCTTCCCTTTTCTATCCTTTTCCATTGTCTAGTTTCCAAAATATCTACTCTTGCCCCTATCTTTCTTCCATAAACATCTTCCTGTTTCCCCAGATTCTTTTTTAATTTCCTTAGAGCACTCTCCCCTTAGCTTATGTCATCAATCCCTGTTGGTTTTGCTATTATCTGCCCCCCCCATTCCGTTTGTTTTGTCTGTCTCTTTTTTCCGTCTCCGCTTCCAGTTGGCTCCTCCTCTTCTTGGGCATCTTGAACACTCACTGTCTCTTGTATTATATTTCCCAGCATTTCATCTATGCTCTCCATTTTTTCCATGATTTTCTGGTAATGTCTTGTCAGTGTCTCCTTTATATTTTGAAATGCCGATGCCACCTCTTTCCAAGTTCCACTCCCTTCTTCTTGATAAAGTATCTCATTAAGTTTTATTGAATCCCCTTTTTTGTCCAATAATCCAAAGACCGTATGTTTGATCTTACAAACACTTCTCAAAATATTCAATGTTTCTTTATATTCCAAGCTTAATCTGCCTGTTCCTCTGGAGTGCCCCTTAAATCTTCTAGCACCTCCTTAAATCCCTCTAACAAACAAATTTTTGAAAATGTGTTGTTCTTCTTTCTGTCACCAAGTGGCACTCTTTAATTAAATTTCAATATTAAGCTGTTTTTTTTTAATTTTCCACGATGTAAGATAATGTTAATTTTTGAGTAAATAATTCAAATGTCTCAAAGTGCCATTCCAATAAAATGCCTGTCCAGTTTAAAAACCCAATTTTCTATATTTTTAGCAATTTTTTCTATCTTCTTTTTTTTTTTTTTGCCTCCTTCAAATTTAGTACTTTTTCAAAGTGCTGGCTGCTGCTGTATTAAATAATTGTGAACCCTTTTCCAAATTCTTTTTGGGATTTGAGAATTCAAATAAATAAAGTTCTTCTCACGCAGTTCCACACTGTCCACCAACTTCACACCAGCACTGTGCTTAGATGGTCATTCTCTCTCCCACCTTTGTGTCATCCATCTTAGACTGTCTCTTCTCCTGTTGTGATATAGAGAAACAGCTCTGGTGTTCTTCAGGAGATTGTGATCTCTCCTTCAACCTCACTGGGCATTACTCCTTAGCTTCACCGGTCCAACAGAGCAGCTTTTCGGCTCCCTTGGAGCCACAAACAGGAGAAAACCAGCACAGAAACAGACCTGACTGTTCTCTGTGGCTGGAGACAATGGGAGGCTTCACACTCTCGAACTGTTGACCTTTCTGATTGACAAGCTCAGCATCTTAGCCACAGAGCGTCAGTGGAGTTTAGGAGATGTCAATGTTAGAGTTCTTCTGTTTATAAGGGCTTCAGGTGTGGGTGCGTCAAGTGAGGGTGTTGTGATGGGTCAGGTGTGAGTCATCAGTGAGAGTCTTATGATGGGGAGCTTACATCAAGTGAGGATGATTGGGAGATGAAGTGCTGATTGGAGGGACTTGCGTGTGTTGATTGAGTTAGTGCTGTTTTTTTGTTGGCTATGCGGTTGATTTGGATTCTGAGGGGTGCATAGGCTGGTTGTAGGTCAATGCTTCTGTTGATGGAATTGCTTCTGGAGTGTCAGGCTTCAATGAACTCACGAGCGTGGTGGGTGGTAGCGTGGCCAATGATTTTTGTGTTGCTCCAATTGAACTAGTGCTGTTTGGTGTTGGTGTGGATAGAGAATAAGGATTTGGGATTGTGGAGTTTGACTGCCAGCTGATGTTTCTGAATCCTAGTTTTTAATTGATGTGATGTTTTTCACACGTAGAATTGGTTGCAATGGTTACAGTTGATGTTGTAGATTGCATTGTTTCTTTCATCCTTCTGTACCTTGTCGAGGTGGCGCAGTGGTTAAATGCAGCACTGCAGGCTACTGCTAGATCAGCAGTTCAGCGGTTCAAATCTCACCGGCTCAGGGTTGACTCAGCCTTCCANCATGCAGGGGCCCATGCATGCATGGGGGGAAGGGCGGGGGAGAATGCGCAGGGCATGTGGAGGCCATGGATGTATTGCATTTGGGGGGGTTGGGCATGCATACATGCATTTGCGCATGCGTGCTTTGGCCACTCGGTCTGGAAAAGGTTAGCTCTCAGTGTTCTACTCTGTATGTCATTATCTTTTACCTGAACTCAAATTACCGTATTTTTGGGAGTATAAGACGCACCTTTTTCCTCCCTTAGAGAGCGCGGAGATGTTGGTGCGTCTTATACAGTGAATACAGCTATTTTTGGCCTCCTGAACCCCCACCCCGGCATCCCATTTTTGTGAAAAACAGGCAAAAAAACAGGCCGTTTTTGCCTCCCCTCCCCCCCCCAAGCACTCTGCAGGCTTCAGCAGGTCTGGGGGAAGGTAAAAATGCCCCTTTTGGTGAAAAATGGAGGACAAAAACTTTTTTTTCTTACTTACCTCTTCGAAATTTTGGTGCATCTTATACATGTCTTATAGTCCAAAAAATACGTTACCTTTATACATTCCAGGGCCATTCTCTTTGCTTCCTGATTCTCTGTGGATGGTCCTCTCATACCAGATTGTTCTGTGCCACTGAGTGTCAGCCAGTTAACAAAAATGAGCACTGTAGACTCACCACTACAAAAGAAAAATGAAAAACATGCTTATAGAGGAAGGAGGAGAAATTTGCAAATAGAAATGAGTATCAGAGTCCCAAAACTAAAACAGCCAAAATGCTCCAATTTATTCTCAAGAGAGATGTATCAGCAACATTATTTAGAAGTCCAATGATTGCAAATGAATAAACAAATACTATCAAATTTATTGAGGTATGGGGGAATCTCAAATATAAGGGTGAAGATTCATTCTCCAAGCTTGTAGTTTGGTTTCCGAACATTTCATTACAAGGCTAAGTAACATCTTCAGTGGAGTTTAAAGGTAAAGGTTCCCCTCGCACATATGTGCAGGTTGTTCCCGACTCTATGGGTCATGCTCATCTCCGTTTCAAAGCCAAAGAACCAGCACTATCCGAAGATGTCTCTATAGTCATGTGGCCGGCATGACTAAATGCTAAAGGCGCACGGAACACTGTTACCT